TTTATCAAAAAGAAAACATATATATATATTCATCATCCATTCAAACCAATCACACATGGTTCACATTCACAAACAATTCCTTCATGCATTTCTAATCAATTTAAGCAAATGCACAAAATTGCCAAACGGCTACACCTCGCACCTCACAAATCATAAACTAGGATTCACGCCATACGGCTATCCACAACACATATGACAACACATAATCAGTCATTTCTGACAAGGAATGATCGCAACCAAACCACATAACCAATCCTCCATTGGAAAGCACAGGAAGATAAAATATGTTGCTGCATTCGCCAACCTTCGCCTGGCGAAGCCACGCAGCGAATGTTCGCTGACCTTCGCCTGGCGAACTCCCCAGCGAAGTCCACTGGGAGTAATTCTGGAATTACTCGCTGAGGCTCGCTACACACTCGCCTGGCGAACCTTCGCCAACTAACTTCGCCTGGCGAACTTGCCAGCGAATACAGGGTGCTGCTTCTGACTTGCTTCGCTGCAGCTCGCTGGGCTTCGCCCGGCGAAGCTTCGCTGCCATTCGCCTGGCGAGCCTGCGAAGACAGAACTTCCATGGCTGTCTCAAGAGCCCAAACTCCACAAAATCAACCGATTAAATCCAAACTAGTCTCAGTGGCACAACCCAATCATCACCCGACTAAACTACATCGTCTAATCTGAGTTCTAACCGATTAAAACCTCATTCTACTCACAAAACCAACTTCTAACCTAAGTGGAAAAAGAGTAGAAACTCTACAAAATCCACACACATACACATACAATCATACACATTAAAGAGATGATGGAGTTTCACACCCTTACCTGATTAATCGCAAGCTTTGGTTGATCTTGGTGAATCTAGGTTTTCTCCTCTTTCTCTTCTCTTTCTCCTCTTCTCCTTTCTTTTTCTTTTCTTTCCTTCTTCCTACTATCCTTTTTCTTTCCCTTCTATTTCCTCTTTAATATCTTTTCCCTTATTTTTCCAAAACATCCACTAATTCAATATCTCATAAATATCTCACTTATTATTAAATAGGAAATGTCCAAAATACCCTCCAAACTATTTCCTCCGAAACCTCTCAAAACCGGTTAAAATAGGATAATATGTAAATATAACATATTTCCACACAATTTCTACCTTCAAATAATATTCTCCCAATTAAATTAATTAGGGACCCAATAAAAGGGGATAATCGAAATCGGGGCGTTACACCATTAATGAAGCACGTACCTCGGATCAATCGATCGTCGCTAGCAGTCTCAGATCCAGATAGAGCGAACACTTTCCCGCTCCCTTGATTCTTCTTCGGCTTATCGCACTTGGTACTGATGTGCCCTCGCTCACCACAGTTATAGCAAGTAACACTCGCACCGCTTCTACACTCTAGAGCCTTGTGGCCTGGCTTGCCACACTTAAAACACTTCTGTTCAACACTTTTGCACTCCGGAGCACGATGCCCCGCTTCACCACAATTGTAACACCTAACCGGGGTAGAAACTCCCCCACTTGGCTTCTTGCCAAAACCAACCTTTTGTTTCCCCTTATCGGCAAGAGTTACGTAAGGTTTTCCTCTGAATTGTCCTTTTCCTTTTTTATCACTTAGGCTCTTGTAGTGGCTAGACCTAGCCCTACTGTCTTCGTCATAAATTCTGCTCTTGTTAACCAACTCAGAAAACCGTCTGATTTCCTGGTACCCAATAACTTGTCTAATCTCGGGTCTCAAACCGTTCACAAACTTGAGGCACTTAGACCTCTCAGCATTACCAGTATTATAATGAGGACAAAATTTGATCAACTCCTCAAATTTCGCCGCATACTCAGCAACCGTCGAATTACCTTGCTTCAACTCAAGAAATTCGATCTCTTTCTTCCCCCGCACATCCTCTGGAAAATACTTCTCCATAAAGGTTTCTCTAAACAAATCCCATGTAATCACAATATCATCTTCCTCAAATCTTTGGCGAGTATTACCCCACCAATCTTTAGCTTCTTCTTCGAGCATATGAGTCCCAAACTGCACCTTCTGTGCATCCGAGCAATTGATAACTCGAAAAATCTTTTTCACAGCTTTCAACCAAATTTGTGCCTTGTCCGGTTCATGAGTTCCCTTGAAGACCGGAGGGTTATTCTTTTGGAATTTCCCCAAAGCACGGAATCCATCATCAGCATGATTCCTCACATTCACATTGGCCGGAGGATTCTGCCCAATTGCCCCCGCCAATCTCGTCAATGCCTCCGCAATCGCTTCGTCGTTCCTTCCTGCAACCATCTTACTAATTCCAGCAACAGAACCACGTAAGAACAACCAATATTGATAATGCAACACACGCATATCAATAACACACAGGAAAAAAAACACTCTAACAACTTGGCCGGACGGACCGACCTGCTCTGATACCACTATTGTAACACCCCCTTCTATACCCCAAATAAATGCATATAAAACAATTGAGCACATACAAATTATCAGAGTAAAAAGATTTTATAATAAGGTATAAAAGAAGAATGCCATAATTTCACCAATAAAACACTTTCACATTTTTCTCCATAAGATATGTAACATTTTCAAAATTAAGCGGAAGATCAAATCATTTAATCGTTTTCAAAATATTAATCCACGTACACACAAGTTAATCTAAATTAATACATCATATCAGTTAGATTACACAATCACATCAACTGATACATCGCAATGTATCACAAAAGAATGACTATACTAGTCTAACTACCCGGTGTTACATATCAGAGCAGCAGACTCAAAAGAATGAAGAATACTTCACAAAAGGGACTCCAGCATCCTAATCTGCAATGCCTCGTAGAGCATTATAAAACAGCAGAATGGTGAGAAATATAACCATAATAATCAAAGCATAAGATTATATATATATAGGTAATCAATACAAGTTCCACTCCGTATTTCTCACCACAATTCAATTTCTTAGTCATATATATTTGCCACACATATAATGACAACACGAATATTTATAAAGCATTTCCACATCATGCATACTCTCACAATTTCACAATCTCATCATTCACACATAAGCATCTCTTCATGCATATGTCATATATTAATGTGACTCAACAACTCAATGCAACTCATGCAATGCGGTACCGACTCTCGTTATCTTTTTTTCGGTTTTTACATTAAACCGGGTCCACTCTTCTAGACCGATAACCCGTTATCTTTTTTCGGTTTTTACATTAAACCGGGTCCACTCTTCTAGACCGATAACAACAAAGGCCCGTCCTCTAAGCCTTCAAACCCACCCTTCTAGGTTTGGGACAAGCCACTAGTTTCCACGAAACTAACAGACATTGCCTCTTGACTAAATGATGCATGTACAATCAACCACAACAAATGCACTTAAGACCGACATCTTAATCTCATGCATTTACATAATTCATCTCTTCAAGAATTACACAATGATTGCACATACAGCATATATCACAACAATCAAGGTATTCACATCACAATACCAATCATACAATTACAAGTGATGCACACATATTCACAATGTTCTCATGCATACTCATCACATAATTGTATACACATCAAGCATTCACAAGTTCATTAAATAATACACACATAATCACCTATTATGTTCACATGTATTTATACTTGATGCAATTAACATTCAAATCACAATTCTAGGATTCACGCCCGTAGGCTACCCACAGCACACATCATCACAATAAATCATATCTATATTATATCATAGAGGTATTAACCTATGTGAATCAATCAAACAATCACCACATGAGCAACACAGCAAAAGAAAAATGTTGTCACATTCGCCTTCATTCGTCTGGCGAACCCTCGAAGCGAACCTTCGCCTGGCGAACTCTCTCAGCGAACACTCGCTAGGCTTCGCCTGGCGAGACTTCCCAGCGAGCCCAAGTCAGTAGCTACTGACTTCATTCGCCACCATTCGCCAGCACCTTCGCTGGGCGAACCTTCGCTATCCAACTTCGCCTGGCGAACTCGCCAGCGAAGTCCACTGGAACTTAAACTTAATTATTCGCCAGCATTCGCTGGGCTTCGCTCGCCTGGCGAGAGCCAGCGAACCTGCGCAGAACAGAACCACACTCTGTCCCTCCTTCACCATTCCACCATCCACCAACTCTTGAACATCCAAATCAGTACAAATAGCATCAATACATGTTACCCGACTATTCTACGGCGTTATTACTCAGTTCCAACCGATTAAATCATCAATCTCTTGATTAATCCAACATTTGCCCTAATTGGAATGTGATGAAAACTCTACCAAAACCCCAACCCAACATACATAACATCATGCAATGATCAAATAGAAACATTTCTCACCCTTACCTCGATTAATCGGAGCTTTGATGTTGGTTCTTGATGATTTTTCCACTTTTCCTCTTCTTCTCCTCTCTTTCTCTTCTTTCTTCTTTCTTTCCTCTTTCTCTCCAAATGTTTTCTCTAATTTCCTTTATCTTCTTTCTCACTTATATATCCCTTTTATTTTCTTTCCTTCCAATTTCCTTTCAATTCTCTATTAATTCCAATTAATAAAAATTAATTCCAATATTAACATAAAATCCCATTAAATCAATTAATTACTACAATTAATTATTTAATGAAATTTGGGCTGTTACACTAATATCTTCCATAAGCTTAACCAACCCCTTACCTAGATCTCTCCCCGCATTGTTTACGATGCAAAAATTAAGTTTTTCTTCTTTTAACATTTTCCTTCGGATAAATCAAAGATCGGTTGTGAACTAAAGATGTGATTCAAATTAATTAATAATTTAATATCCTATTCTAACCGCAACAAAGGGCAATGGGAAACCTGTTCATATTGTAGATGTTCCTGAACATTTTCGTTATCGACTTGAATTGGACAAGTACTTGCCTCAAATAGCTGGCGCAATCTTTATGGTGGATGCTTTGGACTTCTTACCAAATTTTCATGCTACCTATATGATCTATTGACCAAGGGAAGTGTTTTGAGGAAGAAGATCCCTCTGCTTATTCTCTGCAACTGTCATAATTTGGAGATATTTCTGCTTCCCAATAACTATTTTCTTTTTCATTTCCCATAGCATTTTAAAATAAAGCACATAAGTTCAAATAGAGTGAGAAAACTATATAACATATTTAGATTCATAATTAAATAAATGCAACCTGCTATGGGAGCCAAATGTCCAAAGTAGCATAGCGAACCTGAAAAAAAAACTAAGTAAGCATATAATAATAAAAACAGTGATTAATATTCCGTGATACACAATTGGAGCAACATAGCCATAAGGCAAACAAGCTGTTACAATAAGCAAAATTATATGGAAAATATAAAAATTGATTTTAATTTGGACAGTTGAGTTATCTCTTTCACCTTGATATAAATTTTAGATCTAACAATTTTCAACAAAATTAAAGTTGATTCTAACATGATGTATACCGAAAATAAACATATATAAGAAAACTTTATTGATTCACCTACATAATTAGGTGAACAATTATTCATCAAATAATGTCTTATAAAAAATTTGTCAAACAAATTAATTAATGTAAAGGAAGAAAAATACACGCCACAAATAAATGCATAGAAGCAAAATATCTATCAAATTCTCCCATAGAAAAAGATGTCTACCAAATAAAAATTGACACATAAGTGATGAATTAATTAATTACCATTAAAAAAGAGCTTTAATTTTTTAGGTACAATGGTCTTGAAGTCCTGCAACCGGATCTTGTGAGAGAGTTCCATCTCCCATGACTTAATACCATTTTGCACTATTTCCTCCAATGGTCCTTCTGGCCATTCCTGAAAAAGTCAACACAAAATTGAAATAAAAAAATTAAGCTTATCCGAGGTAAGACTAGGGTTGTCCATAGTTTTACTCAATACCGTCAATGCAAGTTGAACTGCTTCTTCCTTTGTGATATCATCCTTGTAATCCTGTTTTAGAATTGACTGTGCTGCCTGATTGTTAGCATCAATAGCACCGACTTTCCAACCACCGTAACTTCCACTAGGATCGCTCATGTAAAGTTGAAAGCCAAAATTTTTGTCCCAGCCTGCAAACAAGAAGGAAACTGCAAAAGGATGGAGACCAAAAGTGGAGATACTTTTTGTTCTAAACTCACTCAACTGAGCCCAAGAAAATCTGCACTATTAACTAGCCACTGTTAAAAACTCAAATTAACAAGTTAAAAAATTGACTTCCACATCTTTTAACATTTCCACAAATTATAAAATACCATGAGGTGAAATTCCTTTTTTGAGGAAACATCGGCCCAATTGTCGTCATTACAATATGTTGCTCCATTTCCTTCACCGCATCAAGGCTACCGGAAAACAGAGCCTCCACAGAACCATCCCTTCAGTTTCGAACCTATCCCTTTAACCCCAGTTCCTTCGCATTATCCACTGCCCAATTCCTGTAAATTCTAAATGTAGAGATGCAGTCACAGGACCAATTCAAGTTTACAGGAGAATATGATGGTGATGCTACATATAAATCTAAAGACACTATAAATCTAAAGACACTATAAATCTAAAGACAAACGTTGCTAAAAGGAAAAGTTAATCCCTATCAGCTTTAGAGTGCAAAATCTTGCAGAAGTAACCATGTTCCCAAGTTTTATCTAACTGCTTGTTTAAATTAAATAAATTATAACTTATTTTAATCTAAAATAAAATTATTCATATCATAAGTTATTTAATATTTAACAAATTTATATTCCTACCCTGGCTACACAATTATTCCTGAAAAGAGAATGCAATAGTCCAAGAATTAAGGAACATAATACCCCACACCATCAACTATCATTTATTGGAATAGTCCAAGAATTAAGGAACATAATACCCCCACACCATCAACTATCATTTATTGGATTTCTGTTAGATGGAAAGAAAAAACTCTTTCATACACTATGAAACATCATGGTAAAAGTTCACATGGAGAAAATTTGGTAACGATCAACAGTGTGTGTTAACTTTAATCAAATAGGATAGTTAGCAAATAACAAGCCAAAATATAAAATTTAAACCAACTTCTGAAGTCTCGTGGTTTCATTTTGGAGCTCCCTCGTTAGCAACTTCTGAAGTTATCGACCTGAATTGGACAAAGATAACATAACCTTATTAAGTTTTAGGTCATACACATCTAAAGTAGTAGAGATAAATAACCGAATGAAGTTATCTGCAGCTTCTTCAAGGTTCCACAGGTGTTTTCTCTAAGAAGAGGGTTTTGAGCTTCAGTTACCGCCATTGAAGTTCCAGAGCAACCTAGCCTGCAAACCCCCACACAGAAAAATCATAAGAAATTCCTTTCTTCATCAACTCACAGATAGTTTATCTCATTCTAGTGAAAGAAAACTAATGGCTTTGACTAATCAAAGACTATGGAAATACAATTACACAAAATAAGCCATAAAAACTACACAATCTGAATTCAGAATCAACAAAACCATAGTGAAAGCAAAACTCAAAATTCAATGCTACTAAAAACATCGAACTTCAGTGCCCTAAATTATCCATCCCAATAGCGAAAACTGACAAAATCAAATAAGAATCTTAGAAAATTAAGAGAAAAAAAAAAACAATTGCAAATTGTGATAGTACTAATACTATTTGTGTTAATAAGGTTGAAAATCACTACATTCCATAAATTGCATCTGCAAACAAATGTAAAAAAAAAAATCAAGCTCATTCAACACATTTATAATTCAATGCATAGTTACGCTAATCAAACTCATTGTATATAGCAATTCACTGACAATAACAAATCAACAAGAAGAGTACATTACACTGATAGACAAAAAAAAATCAAACTGAAATAGAACTTCAAAGAAACGAATGGAGAGTGAAGATGAATGATAAGATTTAAGAGAGCATGCAACGAGTAAGAATCAGATCTCCGAAGTTAGTACAAATCAGAGGAAGAAGATGAAAATTGTTAGAGAGAAACGTTACCATATGAGGTTGAGTTAGGGTTAAGTGGTTTTTTAGATCTGGAGCAGTGTGAATGTGAAAAAAGAGTGAGTAATGCGTAGTTATAATAATGGTGGTAGTATTAGTAAGTGAAGAATAAAGTTAGATTTTAGATTATTATATTAAAAAGGAAATAGATTATTATAATGAAATTATTTTTTGTGAACGTTATCAGTAAAAAATTTGATTGTGACTTAGACTAACCACGTGCTTGGTGACCGTGAGTAGATAACAAAAATTTAAATTTGTTTTGAATTTTAAATTAGGATTTAATTGATATACACTATAAAAATAGTTTTACACTCTCATCCAATAAAATAAATATATTAAGTAAAACTAATATTTTTTAATAAATTTAGATTAATTATTAAAATTTAATTTAAAATTAAAAATAATTAATAAAATAAAATAAATAGAGATTAAAAATATCATTCTAATTTTATAAATATTTAAAAAAACATTGCAACAACTATGAAATCTTAAAAAATGTCTTAAATAAGAATAATATGTACTAAAATTATCTTAAAGAAAATAAATCTAAAAAATAAATAAAAAATAATTTTTGACAAAATTTAAACAAAAACTATTATTATTCAATAAAGCAAAAAAAAATTGTTGTGAAAATTATTTTAAAATAGATTTGTTTATATATATATATATATATATATATATATATATATATATATATATATATATATATATATAAAATCAATATGTCAATTATATTTTACAATTTTATTTAATAATAGTAAAAATATAATTAAATAAATAAACTTATATTTTTTATTTTATAAATTTTTACAACAATAAAAAATTATTAGATAAATAAATATATATTTTACAATTATATCATAAACTTATATTTTTGATTTTTCTAATTTTTACAACAATAAAAAAATATTAAATAAATAAATTTTCTTTAAAAAATAACTAAAAACTCAATTATTATTATAAAACTTTCTTAAGAAAAACTAAGATTTAATATAAAATTAAAAAATGTCTCAACAACATATTCTTGTTTTATAATTTTATTTATTAATAGTAAAACCATAAAAAAAAACTAAAAATAAACTAAACAATTTGCAGAAACACTTACAACAAACTCCGCAGCAAACTTCGCAGCAATTCCTTCTATATTTCTAGAGAATTTTGTGGTTTTTATGGATAACTAATTCTGCGAAAAGTATCGCAGTTAAATCCGCAGGAAATATATTTTTTACTTTTAAATCTAAAATCAAAGCTAAAGTCTCAGAAATTCCTGCGAAATTTACTGCTATATTAGTTTTTGCAGGAAACAATGTTTCACAATATAAAGGCGCAGGTCAAATTGCAGGTATAGCTGCGGAACTCTTTCCGCAGAAAAGTCTGCAAATAATCTGTGTATTTCTAGTAATGATTGTTCATAATTCATTTTATATCTGAATAAATTATTTCAAATTTATAATTGTATCTAAATTTATTTTATTATAATTTTTTTTATCAAATGTCACATTACAATTATATAAATTGTTAATGTTTAAATTAATTCAATCATTTAATAATTATATATTTTATTTATTAAATTAAATACTTTATTTCTACTAAATTAGATATTTTTTGTTCCAAATTATATAATATTGTGCTACCCGTGCGCACTGGTCTATTAAATTGCATTTATATGTTTATCTTTTTAATTTTTTTTTGAAATCATTTTGATTATGTATAAACTGATTGAACATTCAAATTTTTTTAGCATTTTCTAGCTGAGTTTATTAGAAAAGGTCTACGTACTGACCAAAATGAAATGAGCTACTATGATTGTGAGATTTTTAAAGTAAAAAGACCACATATTGAGATGTATTTTGGAAATTGTTGGTATGAGTATGCAAAATTCAAAAAAAAAGTTTAAGGTTGGTGATGTCTTGATTTTGTATTAATGGTCTGCTTTAGAGATACTGTACGTTAAGTTGGTCAAGAAGCAAAGACGAACAATTGATAAAAGTAATGCATGAAGGTTTATACTTTGTCTAAGTCATTTAAGTCACTACTAGAAATACACAGATTACCTGTGGAAAAAGTTCCCCAGCAATACCTGCGATTTCTCTTGCGAGTGTATTGTGAAATATCATTTCCTGCAAAAATTAACGTAGCAGCAAATTTCGCAGGAATTCCTGAGACTTAAGCTTCAACTTTATAAATTTCCTGCGAATTTAAATGCGATAGTTTTCGCAGGAATTAGTTATCCATTGAAACCACAAAATTTTTTGGAAATATCGCAGGAATTGCTGTGAAATTTGCTGCGGAATTTGCTGTAAACGTTTCTGCAACCTTTGCTGCGAATTGTTTAGTTTATTTTTAGTTTTTATTATGTTTTTACTATTAATAAATAAAATTATAAAACACATATTGATTTCAAGAATATGTTGTTGAGACATTTTTAATTTTATATTAAATCTTAGATTTTCTTAAGAAAGTCTTATAATATTAATTTAGTTTTAGTTATTTTTTAAAGAAAATTTATTTATTTAATACTTTTTTATTGTGTAAAAATTAAAAAAATCAAAAATATAAGTTTATGATATAATTGTAAAATATAAATTTATTTATTTAATAATTTTTTATTGTTGTAAAAATTAAAAAAAAACCATAAATATAAGTTTATGATATAGTTGTAAAAATATAAGTTTATGATATAATTGTAAAAATATAAATTTATTTATTTAATTATATTTTTACTATTATTAAATAAAATTGTAAAATATAATTGACATATTGATTCTTTAGATTTATATATATGATATAAAAACAAACCTATTTTAAAATAATTTTCACAACAATTTTTTTTTGCTTTATTCAATAAAAATAGTTTTTGTTTAAATTTTGTCAAAAATTATTTTTTATTTATTTTTTAGATTTATTTTCTTTAAGATAATTTTAGTACATATTATTCTTATTTAAGACATTTTTTAAGATTTCATAGTTGTTGCAAATTTTTTTGAAAAATATTTATAAAATTAGAATGATATTTATAATCTCTATTTGTTCTATTTTATTAATTATTTTTAATGTGA